CGAACGCGAGGGGGACGAGCCGTGGTTTGTGGGTGTGCGTCCTACGCTCAGGAGAGATGACACCGACATCAGAGGTCAGACGGGCCGGTCGATCCGCCGCGCCGTGTCTGTCCATCTGAAGTGGGTGTCATCTCCCCTGAAGCATAGGACTCATCACTGGCCCAGGAGAAAAAGAACACGCGAACACCTGCACCTGGTACCTCGACGACCAGTCCATCTCCCTGTTTTCAGCATGCTCTCTCCTCCTTTTACGAGGTAACGCGATGGCTCCTTCAGCTTGTCTGCTCGTTTTAGTGTCTGTTTTTCTAGCAGGTGAGGCATGAAGTGAGAGCACCGGCTTGGCATGGCATCCGATCCGAGGCAGCTGGAGATGGTGGACCAATCATTCGGACGAGATTAGCCATGCATCCAGAATCAGAGAGGTACCTCCTGGCTCCTGCTTTTTGCGTCGCTGAAAACAACCTCTCAGAGCCTAACACAGGCCGTTTTCAGAGCGCCTGAAACGTCCTGGGCTCCTGGCAACATTTGTGTGTGCTCTTGGAGCTTTGCGCTCCACTCAGGATGGATACTCGTTCGATCCATGCCTTTTTCTCTTCCTGTGAGTGCTGGAGACGATGTGGCTTAACATTAACGTCCTCGTATGACCTGCGTCTCTGAAGAACACGCACAGGGCCCTGCTTCCATGGCAGGTCTCGAGGTCCAGGAAAGCGCAGCCGCGCAGTTCTCAGCCAAGCAGCAATGCTAATCATGCTGGCCTCTCCCGTCTGTTTTTTTTTTTGAAAGATCCGGTCGCCCGGCCTCTCCCGTCTGCTGGCTGCTGATTTCTCCAGGGACAACTTTTATGTCTCTGATTATCCTTTGCGGATCGCGAGAAAGTTGTTGGCACCTGACATGTGTGTTGTGGCCTTGTGGGTGTGGCTTTTGGCTTGGACGGGCCGAGAACAGGTCGGCTCCAATCTGTTCTGTGCTGAAACAACTCGTTCTCTGCATTTATTTATTCTCTTTTTCCTTTGATCCGTCCGGGCTGTTGTAGTAATTTCTGCATGACAGTAACACTGCAATCTTTGAATTAATTTACTACTCCTGTTGGCCAATACTGAATTCTGAAGAAGTCGACTTCCCAAACTAGTACTGGTTGATTCGCAGATCACTCACAGAACAGGTGATGGAATCTTTGATTGGAGAAGGGACACAAAGAAGCTTCTCCGGAGTCGATCAAAAGAAATCATACAAAAACAATACTATCTTAATATTAATATTACTAGTTTGAGACCTTATAATTTAACTGTAAGCACTATTTGTTCCCATAAACAGTAGTACTACACACATAATTCTTTGAATAGAGAAATTCAATATCTTAAGTTCCATGGTGCAAGATGGAATGATTTTAAGACATAGAACCCATTTTTCAAAACATTATAAAGGAAATTTTTGAATAAATATACAATAAACACTGGTAAGAACAAAAGTTCTAAATTAAAAACCAACATAGGTGCAGTGCAAAGGATGACGATACATATAAATATAGCTTAATTGATAAATTTACCACAACCGAATCGATATTGAGTACAATATAAATGGGTATTGTGTTAGGAAATTAATAGGAGATAGTAAAGATAATCACTAAATTTATCCATGAAACTCTTAATACCTGGAGTATGTAACATGCTAGACCGTAGTGGAGCATGGGTTGGTGTGCTAGTATTAGGCCTCCAATGAAGCCTTCTGATCCTCATGAGACATGCTAGAAAAAATATAAATCCTAAGAATTTCCGCAAGATAAGAAACATCTACACTTTAATTTGATAGAGTAGAATTATTAATTGATAATAGTAGACATTGGATGTATTCTCTTTTCTAAAAAAAAATACTCACCACTCCTATATTATTAAAATTACATAAAGTAAACCCTAGATTTCATCTATATTACCCATACATGCCATCATGCAAAATGATTTAAAATAACCTCTAAACTTTTATCTAAGTTATCCAGCTATGTCATTATAAAGAATAAATTAAAGTAATCACCTAAATTTGCATATAAATTACTCGTCTTTGTCATTGTGAAAGATGATGCAAAATAACCCTTGAATTTTATTTAGATTACTACATATAACATTATAAAATATAATATGAAGTAATCTATTTAATTTTCATCTAAGTTACCAGCCTTTACCATTTATAAAAATAAATTAAATACCAATGGAAGCTATCTATAGGAAAATAATTCAATAATAACCAGGAAGACGCGGGCCCAACCACATCGGCCCCGATCGTTGGTCTGAAACTTGGCCGAAACTGACTGAAAATATTGTTCCGGCTGAATTGTTGTGAGAGAAAAATAATATTCCGGCTTGGAAAAAAAAACCGGGTAAGCCGAACAGGGCCGAGTCCGCGACTCCGCGAGCGTCTCCCTGGCCCGGCTCCCCAGTCCCCTGGACTGGCGCATGGACGGACTCACGGCGTTCACCCTTCCGTCTGTCACCCTCGGCGCCCGTGAAACCGACAGGCTCACGGCGTACATCCAGTCGGCGACTTACCCGGTGGCATCGATCCGTAACACCTGCCGCACCCGCACGGTCACCGGCGAGAACCGCGCCCCGATGGTGGCGTCCTTCTCGTCACGCGGGCCCAACCACATCATCCGCGAGATCCTGATGCCGGACGTGGTGGCGCCAGGCGCGAACAACCTCGCGGCCTGGTCGATCGAGTCGTCGCTGACACGCAGAAAGGGCGACGCGAGACGGGCAAGCTTTAGCATCATGTGTCCGGCACCTCCATGGCGTGCCCGCACGTCGCGGGCGTCGCGGGCGCTGCTCCGGCACGGGCATCGCGACTGGACGCCGGCCATGATCCGGTCGGCGCTCATGACGACCGCGGCGACGCTCGACAGCCACGGCCGGGGCATCACGGAAAACAGCCACACCACCACCACCAGCAGATGGCGCTCGACCCGGGCCTGGTCTACAACTACACTGCGGCGCAGGTGAGGTCGTTCGTGCCTGGGTTCGCAGGCTGCACGAGGACGACGCTCCCCGGCGGTGGGCGCCGCGGGGCTCAACTACCCGTCGTTCGTCGTGGGCTTCACCAACGGCGCCGACGTCCGCGTGCTGACGCGCGCACCGTGACGAAGGTGTCGGAGGGCCCCGAGGCCTACGCCGTGAGGGTCGTGGCGCCAGACCACCTGGTGGCGGTGACCGGCCGGTGACCGTCACGCCGAGGACGCTGGAGTTCGACCAGCGGAAGGAGAAGAGGAGCTACAAGGTGTGTTCAGGAGCAAGAAGATCTATCTATGGTTATTCTTATTCCGTTCCATCATCGCTGTACGTATTTTCGCGGCACGAACGAATGTTCCATTACACGATTATTAGGAGCACGAGAAGCAGTAGCAGCGGCCCTTGATGAAGTTTCCCCTGCAGTGTCCGCCATGGCGCATCTGCACCAGGCAAGCGGCCGCGCAGAGCATCTCCACGCACGGCCCTCTGTACAGACGCGTCTCGGCGCATTGGCTATTGGGGAACGCTCCGCCGGCGACGGGGGGAGGAGGCTCCTGCTCTTTTCACGTGACCTGTTGTTCAAATGACCCGGCTGAGACCATCGACAGACATGGACAAAAGCCATTTCGAAAGAAGAAATCTATACAGATTTTAGAATTTATTAAGGCCTCCAGCACTTATACTCTGATAAAAAAAATGTAAGGTGACCAAGGTTTGTTTTAATTAACTTAAATATCTTAGCTTTGACCATCAACATCTAAAATTTAATATATGTGATAACAGAAGTTTAATATATCAATGAATTTCATCTCGTGGAAGGTTCAACAATGCCCGCGTTCATGTAATAGGATAGCAGAAGGCCGAATTGACTCGGCCATTTATAATCAAATACAGTCCACTAAGTTCAGGATGCATTACATACAAGCTATATAGTATACTTAAGCATGTAATCAGTAGAAGTCTTCTTGCTCCTATGCTACTTTTGATCCACACTAGCTCATTGCATACGTTCTTGAGGGATGCAACACACGAAAGCACCAAATTGGAGAGGTGTGTTTGTGTAGTACAAACTTATGCCTGACGCACTCATCATTTGGAATCCCATGCAACAATAGCACATTTGGGAGGCGAAACGTGTATTAGAGGCTTTGCAAGTTGCAACAGGTGCCACATTGTACATACATTTTTTTCCACACTGCCATCGGAGAAAGAAATCCTAAAAATGAATTTGCAGCTTCTATCATCCAGCACTTGGACATAGCCGTTTTCATTTCTATGATAGAACTGTTGAAGGAATCAGTTTAAAACAAAATCAAATTTGTAACTCTCTCAATTGTATATTACACGTATGTGTGAATGTGATAGGGTTGGAAGGTGACAGATGACAAGTAAACATGTTCCTAGAAGAATTTCATGTTCATCATGCCACTAGAAAAGTAGAAATAGGGCAGTTAGCTTCCATGCCATGTCTGTATCAATGATGAACTGTTAGCATGCCTCCTGAATATCAGAAATAATTTACATGAGCATGGGCGACATTATTTCATCCATCAATTATATGAAACGTTTCTTTTGAATCATGATTCTATATGTACACCCTGCGAACATTTACAATGAAATTACAGTCCTGTAAAACAAGGACCAGAGACATTCTTTTCCTTGCCAATTGCTATATGTGCCTAGTTGGCAGTTTTGCTGCTTTCGAAAAGAATTACCATACAAGCAATGCGTTGTCCTCAACAATGAAGCTAAGGTTATATTTACATTAATCTTCTTGCCCCTATGCTACTTCTAATCCCTACTCAGAACGTGTCTGAGTACATTCTTTCCATCATAATTTATTCAGACTATATATATGAAGTCAAAACGAATTGACCAGGTACCCGATTCCTCCTTTTTTGCCTATAATGTCGTTAGTATCTTCAGGCTCCAGCAGCAGTGTCATTCTATCGAAAAATTACTGTAAATGTTCACTGTGAAACTGTAATAGTGCCACCAGTGAAGTTATGCTAGAAGGGGCTCCACCAAAGGTCTCCACCGAGTATCAGGGAGGTCCATGGTATAAGCTACTATTGCTGAAAGCAGTGAACAGACAGCTGGAACTAAGCCCAAGCCAAGTCTTGTAACTGAATAGCCAAATGCTGTTCCTAAATTTGATCCTGCCATGCGAAATTCCAACCTCGTTAAAACTTTTACTGGAAGATTACAAAGTCAATTTTGCTTATGATGATGTTCCAGTATTAAGATAGTGGCAGTAATTACCTTGATAGGACTCAAGAACATACAGAGCTACTCCACATGAAACTTTGTCAACAAAACTTAATGAGCCATACACAAAAGCACAACCATTTAGATCTTCTCCTACTAAAACACCTTCCATGCTAATACTTGTCACCTGGTATCAACGAAAGGACAGGAAAGATAAAATTATCTAAGAGAACTCCCATAACATCACAAGAGCATACACTAAAATATGTGTAAATGAAATTCAGCTGAAATTAAACAGGATACCGTAACACTTAAATTGAAAGGGAAAATAAAACGCTCATAGTAAGAAGTTTAACATATGCAGATATATACAGGTTGCTCACAAGTGTTGCAGCACAATGTTAACAGTAACACATCAACAAATAAACTAAGACATACCTAAACAAAATTTATCTGATCATAACATGGCATGTTGAGTTCGCAACTGATTCCTTTTCTCTCGAACACACAGGAGAAGCGTGTCATTTCATCAAAGAGAGAGAAAAAGACCCAGATTTATAACACCACATGCATACCCACAGCACACACCAGAAACACACCAATGGCGCACAGCCATTAGAACATACACACCATAGGACCCTCAACAAGACAACCAAGAGTCAGTTCTTAACTAGTAATGTAGTTTTTCACACATACATAAGTCAGCATTTTCAAGGTTAGGATAGAATACAACATGACGAGTTGACGACACACCAAGATATATAACAGATCTGATATATAACATCTCACCAAGGTATATAACAGACCTGAACAGCAAGGACACATTTGCTAAACCAGATAGTCCTGAAGGTCAGGATTGAAATTTAAGTGCCAGCATACCAGATACGTTAGCAAGCTAACAACTAGGTACATGGACGGTGGGCCAGAATAAGAGCATACCACTATGACATGATAAATTGATAATATACCTTCTTACAAGTATATTTTTTCTTTAAATGTGTGTATTATCAAATTAGCTACATAGTATAAAATTTAATTACCATACTATAATAAATCTCCTGAAGTTTTTATCATCTCTTGGAAGTACAGGTGTTAATTGAGATTACAGTATACTTACTGTCATAAGTGCATTCGCAGCTCCTATTATGGTTGAAATGGCATACATGAGGTTGTGCATTCTGCTCGGTAGAAAAACAATTCCAAGACCTGACAATATCCAAAGCACTGCTCCAGCTGAAAAGTAAAGCTTAAGACGCCAACTTGACCATCTAGTCTCCTGTAAACAGTTTTGAAAGTAATTGAGTTGAGTAACGAAGTATTAAATTAGACAAATTAGATATTAACAAAATAGTCTGACCTGTAATATTACAGATACTATCAAACTGCAGATGTAGATAATAGCAGGTACCTGAAAAGGAAAATGAAAAATAATTAATCCAGGGGAAAAACTATATGCAGATGGGACAAACTACTAATTCTAATAAATACGGGTCATTAAAAATGCTATTGTGTCTTCATTGGGGACGAATAAAAAACCATTTTTATTTAACATATGATTCAGTATTCAAATTATTAGCCATCAGATTATCTGTGACCACCAAATGTACTAGAGTTCATAGAAAGCAAGCTTCATTTCAGAAAAGGCTTAAATTCAGAAGCTTTTGAGGATTCAAAGTTCTTAATTCATTGATAATAAGTTATACTGAATATAATAAATCACTCGTTTGTTCAATCATTTAAAATTTCTACAGTAGCATGTTCATCAGTTGAGTACACTTTCACAAGGATATATCAAATGATAAAGACAAACTAAATGCAAGAGCCAAAACAAATGGAAGGGACTTACCAATGCTTTGGAGTATTGATTCATTTCTAAATCATTTATTACATAGAAAGCGAGAAATGCCTGTTCAGATAAATGAAATGTTATCAGTGACTGGTCATCTGGTTGAAGCTCCAAGCAAAATGACAAGTCTTATAGTCCAAATCTTCTTAAAATAAAGGTAATGCAAGTCTGCGTACACCAGAACTTTGTGATAATGAACAAAAGAAGTTCGTTAATTTGTCCAAGAAACATAAATGGTAATCTAGTAACATTCATGGCTTCAAAATATGAATAAACTATAACATATAATAAGAATTCACTTAGTCTAGGATGATCTGAAATTGGTACATTTTAACACAATACTATCTTGTTGAAACAATGTATATATTTACATTTATAATACGGAAATGAACAAGTAATTTTGAGATATGTAACATTTAACACCAGAGGAAAAAATGAACCTATATGTACACTTTCTCATTAGCATGTGAAACTGAAGACGGATACAACAATTTATGCTATTTTGAGCAAGTCAAGGTTCTATAAGGGCATGTACAGTGGACTAGTGGAGGTGCTTATCTAAGAAAATCAGTTTAGTTTTTTTTTTGGCCATATCATAAATCATACACACTAGGTTCTTATAAACTGGATACAATGCTTAAGCTCGCTCGGGTGCTTAAGGTGTGCTAATAACGTAGTTAAGCCTATTTAAGAACTAGTTTGCATTTGAGGGATTAACTTTTATGCATGTGCTTAATGATGTGACAACATTCTCTCTCTTTAAGCACTCATGCCTAACCACCTTGTGTAGCATGTGCCCTTAAGAGAAACCACAACCAACTATAGAATACATGCTCAACGTAAAAGCAAAGAAAAAGGTAAGGAAAAACTTAGATAGGGATATGCTCCTAACATGAGACATCTACCAGCATAAAGAAAAAGGCACTATGTCCAGAAATATTCTAAAGCTTGCTATGTATCTGAAAAACACTCTCAGAGCCACAAAATAATATATTGTGGTACGTACTGGAATGCCTTATGCTGGTAACTTTACGGTAAAAAGGGAAAGTCTACTCTTGAGTACAGTATAATAATCTACTGTAGATAGTGAGATACCCTCTGCCACAGCTGGTAGAATAATGTTAGGGCCGAAAAGGAGCACATAACATAAATCAACAAGAGTAAACAGAATGCAAAGTATAAATGAGTTTAGAAGTTCCCAAAAGAAGAGATAATTTCATCCCTATATCACAGAGTAAAAGATTACAAGGTACCTGTGAAACATTGGTCACCAATCTAGTCAGAGTGTAGACTAGAGCAACTTGGTAGTACAATACTTTCTTGAACCAGTAGGCCCATGAAATTCTGGAAAGATTCTTATCCATGCAGGGCCGGATTGATCTAAAGATAAGGATTTTGTTTAAAAATAGCAAAAGAAAAAAAGGAGATGAAAAACCTAGGGGAAGTCGATAATTTTTCCAAAAGAATGTTAACTATGAAGGTTTCCATCTTACCCAGGCTCTTTGGTTCCAACCAAGAAGATGACAACAAAGCAACATCCGAGGGAAATGGACACATAAGCAATCCAACGATACTGGCCAAAGTATTAAAAAATATAATGAAAATGAAGAATATCAGAAACATAGCAATACAGATTAGTAAATATACAAGAGAGTACCTGAACTAGTACGTTCACTGACTGCAATAGAGTAAATATCAACAAAGCAATGCCATACAGGCAAAGATTTGCAACCTAGCAAAAGCATGAAAATTAAGAACATCAGATGCAATTACTTTGTTATTATTTGGACATGGTAGAATGAGTGATCGAGTAGAGTGTTCTAACCATCGTGAAGGCATTACGACAGCTTACAAGTGAAACCCGGCTAGTTGGATTTGATGACATGCAGTTTACCATAGACCTTAGGAGCATATGAAAGATATCCATAATAAATGTAATGCTGAAACCATAGAAAAGCATGGAGAGAAATAGGGAAAGAAAAGCCAATACATGTGAGCGACTTGAGTAACTGCCCAACCAACATTAAAAATAGCGGCAAATGTGCTGTATCCAACAGTCTCCAAAGTAGATGAATTAGTTCCCATAAGTTTGCAAGGAACACAGCTACCAAAAACAGACGAGAAGGAAATTGCCACTAAAATAGATCCTCCTGCATGCCACAGTTTGAAATGCCCAAAGCGATCCATCTGGAACAGAAATGGTATGTTCATAACTTCATATATCTACCCCCAGAATCATACACAGTAAATGCTAAAATGAATCAATTAAATGTTGTGACTAAAAGGAGGAGAATCAATTAAATGTTGTTTTATTGCAGCTTCTAATAAATGAATCATGTTATTTCTTGGCTCATACCAATTCCCCAACAAAGATTGTTGTGAAGCCATCTGCCAATTGTCCAGAAAGCATGACAGTAGCAGCATCGCTGCAAAGGTGAATTATAAAGTAAAGTGTCTGAAATAATCCTGAAGCTTTTACTTCCAAGCTGTCAGCATCTCAATATTTCTCAAAACCTGGATAAACAAACATGATCCAATCTGACAACTCAAGATTTTCGGCAGACTCTAGGACATGTCATGGATCAGAAAATTAGTAAGCACTTTATTAGTAACTAACATGTTGTCATTGCCTTACTAGTTTTTGAGCATTGTAAATCATTATTTTTTCTTTCTGAACATTACTAGCACTAGTAGTAAAAAGGAACAGCAGAATTTTGATGATCAGTTGTGCAAACATTTGAAAGTTTTAAAGGTTTTTTTATCGAGGACATTTTAGAGTATATGGCAGTAAAATATTTTCTGTAGTAACTTGGAATTAAACATGAACTTACTTCCTAATGCACAGCAGCAGAGGTAAAATTACTATTGCAGTAGAGTAAACAGAGTTAGAGTAAAGCTAAAGTGAGTGCATAAACAACTCCAATTTCACATGATTTAGCAACATGCTAGAGAACAGAATATAACCATATGCATTACAATCGGAGAAAAAGAAATGTAACCCAGAAAGCACATACCCTGGACTAAGTCCCAAATCCGTCAAGAACACCAGCAAATAGGTAAACCAACAAGATGATGTGATGTCATTGAGCATATGCCCAGAACCGTAAGAGAGTATCGACACTCGCCCTAAGGGCTCGTCCAATTGTGCATCATTTGATGACTCATTGTCCCTCATATTAACCATTAACTGAGGTTAGCAAGACTACAAAATTACCACCTGCACCAAAATGGCACTCATGTTACATTCAGTTATTAATATGTAAATAGTACAAAATATCACTCCCAACTTCCGAAAACAGAATAATACTGCAAAGCTGCTGTGCAGAAGATCCACAAAAACTGTAAATGTTTGCATATTACTCGTGAGTTTTTGGAAACAATGCAAAATTCCAGGTCAAAAACCAAATTTCAGTTCATCTGAGATATATTTGGATTTATCAACTGGCAACAAAAGCTGATAAATGAGCATAATTTGTGAATTTGTCCACGATTCCTACAACAACAAAACAGGATTCAAGTCTCACTTGCATGATTGATCCTGACATGTCGTTACATTGTCCTGCAATAAACACGAGATATGGACCATCTTACTGATGGCTTGAGAAAGTACAAGACCACCGTGTAAGGTCAACCAGGCTTTAAGTCGATCACCAACTCGAATACATGTACATTTACCCAGACCCTATGACAGGCTACAGGCAACAGCAACTACTTCAGTGCGCCATAGTTTTAGGAAGAAAGACTCGCAAGAAATTGACACGCGAAAAGATATATTCGCATTTCCACCACCAAGGCACTAACCCCGCCGTCCCACTCATTCCAGAACTTTATGAGACTCCTCTGGTGTTACCTTTCCCATTCCGAACAAGGATTCCCACATACTCACGCCCACACGTCCAGCCTGCCCAGACATTTTCAATACGAATTGAGCTGCAGTCAAAAAACAGTTTCGCCACAAGATCGTTTTTTTGGCAATCCCAGGTTCAGGTTCAGAAGGACTGGCTGCAGGCGTTAAAGTCCAAACCAAATTGAGTCAAACAGTAGGGAGTACGCATTAAAAACTTGGGAAAATGATCGGTTTTTTAGCAGCCGCGGTCCACACGAACTGCCCGCAGGATGTAAAGAAAACTGCACACATCCGTCCTATGTCACGCGGTAAGAAGGAACCCCCAACCTCGAAATTCCATGGCGATCAAACACGGGCATGGACAAAGGCGCCAGCCTTGTGAGTTCCGTCCCCAAGAACCTGGGAACCAACGAAGCGGAGGCAGAGAGGAGCTCACCTGCAGCAGCGAGGGCCTCCGGCTCTCCGCCCGCCCGCACCGCGCGGCTCCTCTGGTTCAGAACTTTCTCAAAGAAGGAAACCCCGCCGCAACTGTAAAAAAATTAAATGCCCCCTATCTCGGGAGTCGGGACCCAGACCAAGGAAGGCGACGGGGACACGAGGAACGTCGCGTGGACGGCAGGCTGGCAGGGCCGCAGGGGTGGACTAGAGGAGGAGAAATACTGTGTTGGGGAGCAGCGGAAGCGGGGACGCAACGCAATCGTGGAGGAGAAATACTGTGTTGTGGGCGCGTCGAGGTCGACTGGTTGAGGAACCCGCCCGGTCTGGAGCCGCGACGGTGCACAATCTCGGGGCATTGGGGCAAAACCCAAAGGATATATCGCTTCGATGCGTCGTGCGGGCGCCGCACGTCACCTCAGCTCATTCGCCGCCGCCCGCCAGGCGCCAGCCCCTGGCGTCAGGGGCGGCGACTGCGACAGCGGCGGCGGCATGCATCGTGCTGCCTGCAGCCGCAGCGCAGCGGGGCAATATCATGCGTGCACCCTGCAGCGTGCTCGGCGGCCGGTGCGTGCCATTCTTCATCGCCGTCTAAAGTTCTGTTCTGATGAATTCTGAACGGCTCGCTATGAATGATGCGTCGATCCAGAAAATCAGAAACCAAACACGCTACAAGCCGGTGGCGTGCAACTCATGCTGCCGTTGCTCGTGGATATGACCAGGCTACGGCCCCCAGAGGCCCAGAGCATGAGCCCATTGACTACTGTTGCGCCTAACTAAGGCCTATTTTAGTTTTAAAAATTTTCACCCCAAACTATCACATCGAATCTTGCGACATATGCATTGAGTATTAAATATAAACGAAAAAAACTAATTGCACGGTTTGGTTGGAAATCACGAGACGAATATTTTAAGACTAATTAGCCCATGATTAGCCATAAGTGCTACAATAACTAACATACGCTAATGATGAATTAATTAGGCTTAATAAATTTGTCTCGCGATTTTTCAGGCGAGCTATATAATTAGTTTTTTTATTAGTATTCGAAAACCCCTTCCAACATTCCCGAAACATTTGATGTGGCATAAAAAATTTTCATTTCGCGGAACTAAACACAGCCTAATACCGTGACACCGACTGCTCCATGTCCCAGCATCGTGTCACCTTTCTTGCGTGAGTCTGTCGCTATATCATCGTGGATACTATCATCATTTCTTGCATCAGACTAAGAAAGGAGTGTTTGGAAAACAGCTATTTACATATTTGAACATTGATTGTTTTTGCTGGGTTTTAACTCTAGCCTATCCTAACTTGTTTGTGACTTAAAGACTTTGTTGTTGTTTGTTGTATATGTATTCCTCATTCCAAATCATAAATCGTTGTGATTTTTTTTATATACATGGTCTTTACTTTTTATCTTGACATAATTTATATCTAAATACTCCTTCCATGTTCCTAAAGAAAGTCGTTTTGAGGTTGTCTTAAACCAAATATTTTAAATTTTGACTACAAATAAATTCTTTTGGGTCGAGTTTGAAAATATGAAAGTTACGTAAGTAGATTCATCTCGAAATATAGTTTATAAAAATATATATTGACTATATTTTATAAATATTTTATATCAAAAAGTAGTGGTTAAAGTTATTTTTTAGACCGTGTCGATATCTCAAAACAACTTTGTTTAGGGACATGGAGGAAGTACATAACAAAAGCTATACAAGAGTCCAACTCTAGTTGTGGCCTATACTACTAAATATAACTAAAGTCCTAATGTAACCGAACTCGCACATAAAATCCAATACTCTCTCCATCTCAGAAAGAATATAATTCTAGCACAGTATCACATTTCAGTACTTTAAGTTTGACCAATTATAGATAAAAAAATATCAACATTTATAATATTAAATAAATACCATTAGATTAATTATGAAATTTATTTTTATAATAAATTAATTTGGAGCCATAAATATAAATACTATTCACTATAAATAAACTTGGTCAAATATGAAGTACTCTGCGTGGCACACAAACCATAGTCGTATTCTTTTTGGGATGAATGTAGTACATATCTAACACAAACCAATATACTACCGGTCAAACTTTCTCAAGTTTAACTAGATTTATAAAAAAATATTACCAATATTTGTATCTCTAAATAGGTTTATTATGAGAATAGATTCAATGACCTGTCTAATGATACTGGCCCCGTTCGCCGTCTGCCCTTAAATCCGGCTTGATCCGCTTCTTTTTTCATCCGGAACAGTGTTTTTCATCTAGAATTCCTCCAGCCGAACGGGGCCACTAATTGGACTATAAGAACTAATATTTTCTTGTATATATATTCGATCAAAGTTAAAAATATTTAACTCCTCGGGAAGCGAGAACGACATTTATTTTTGGATGGAGGGAGTAGTTGATAGGGCCTACCTCCCGTGGCCCTAAAAGTCTATTGTAATTTGTAGTTATTTAAAATATATATTAGCTAGGGTCTTAGCGTTGTTATTTGGAATAGAGCTAGCAAACGCGTTCATACGTTACAAAAAGAATATAGACCTTGTTGCATGGTCATCTAAACGACTCATAGCTCTGAGATTTATATAATGTTCACATTATCTTTTCCAATATACATGGAAATTGGACTCCCAACTCTGTACCATCGTTGGACACACTAACGCGCGTGGCTTTAACTTGTATAAGCACGTGTCATAAGTCTAAGGTATTGCATGAGACAAAGAGAAACATAATGGTTTTGTTAGAAGTAAAAAAGATGGATAAAACAATCTCTTTTGCTCTTTAATATTAGATATAAATAAAGATGAACAGACGAATCTCTTTACTCTTTAATGTTGTGTATGGAACTATAAATAATATTAATTATATGTAGCACCAACTAATGACTATCTATTTCAAACAAATAATTATTTTGTGATGTATAATGATTTTTTGGTATTTGTGTGTGAATATATATTCTTATATATATTTAACTAAACTTAGAAGTTTGACTTAGAATGGAACTAAAAATAGAAAAAAAATTATAATTTGAAACGTAAGAAGTCAACACGCTTCTAAGAATCACACTGTCCTAAATTTGCCACCTACTTTTGCATTTTTTCATTGAAGTAATATTACTTGAAAACATTTTACGGTGACAATGATAAGGCCACTCTGAAAAGAGACTTGATGTTCTTTTAGGAGCACACCATGTGTGAAAGAGAGCATATAAATTGTGATCGATACAGTCCTTCCAATGGACTTTATCACCACTGATGTTTTAGAGTAGAGGCAACATAAGATATAGAATATTGTGTTAGAAAGTGGTAAGGTCGTTTGAGGTGGCTTTTATCCTTCACGGTGAAAATCCATTGCACTATAGATACATATTTGTAGACTACAGCCATGAGAAGAGATTTGTAGGTCATTGTCACTGCCTCCTATTACCCTAGGCTCCTCTCCACTACCACCACTAGTCCACCTTCTCCCCCTTGCGGCAGCATAGCCAGTAATAATGAGGAGCGGGAACTCTCCTTTATCTAATTTAGTTGTAGTAGTTAGAGTTTAGATTGGATATATATGTCCGATGGGCTATTTTTATTTCTTGTAGCATCCAACCTGACGTCCTTCATGGTTTTTTTTTTCTGTTTTTGTTTTTGCAGGATTGATGTAATTGGTGGGGATGGTTACATTCCCTGTTTTGTATCTTTGTGTCACCGGCTTGCTAGATTCCGATCTCGCGATGTCTGGGAAGAGTTATCTGGACTTTCTAGTTTCAACATGGATGGTACTTATGGGCCAAATTGATGGTCCCTTGATCATCTTCGAAAACAAAGGTGATTGTTACTCTTTCAATGTGTCGTATGCATCAAGAGAAGTTCCCATGGCTTTAGATCATGCAGTGTTTCTAAGGTTTGGTGCCTATCGCTATAGATGATTGGAGGGTGATGCTCCAACGATTGCCATTGGCGTCACTGAGTTTCGACGTATCAGATCAGGCAATCATGGAGGTCATATTCCTTTCAAAAAAAATCATGGAGGTCATATATTGGAGATGAAGAATACCATTAGGGGGCTTTGGATTTAATCTAGTTGTATTTTTCTTATTATCTAGAGACTTAGGTGTAAAGAAGTCACTCTCTCTCTCCGTGGGGGCATGACTAACGTACTAGGCCACGTATCCACGTTGAACAAGGCACTATTTTTGCACAAGTGTTTCAGTTATAAAATCCCTAGATGTTTCTTTATTTTATTTTATTGATTTAATATATATTCGAACTAGGGTTCAATAGCTATTCTAGCAAACTAATTATTATGGAGCTACAAAAATTACAGTGAGCACTTAATAATATTAGGAATTTGGCCCCGTTTGCGTGTCCTTAAACCCGGCTTGATCCGCTTCTTTTTTTATCCGGAACAATGTTTTTCTCTCACAAATTTCTCCAGCATTCCTCCAAACCATCCAAATTTCTCCAGAATTCCTCCAAACGAGCAGGCCCTTTATTGTGAAATTTTTGGAGTCAACACTATCACCAATTTATTACAAAATTCCTACAAGTTTATATCCTAACAATATTAAGCATCTCAAATTAATTAGCGAACTCCTAAAAATATTATGAAACTAGGTGAACAAGATATACTAGTAGATATATCATGATTTTTGGATCCTAACAAAATTAGTTTCATAATTTTTGGTTAACTACACAAATTTGTATTGAATTTATAAGTTTTCCTTTAAAAACTAAATTAGAAAACGCTTTAGAAAAATAAAAGGGCCGGTGGCAACTAATTCGGCCCAAAAGCCTAGCACGGGGTGCGACTGTGCGCGCGTTGCAACGGCCCAGCACGGCCCAAGGCCGGGAGGCCCACGTGCCATGATGGCTTTGTAGAAAGGCCCCCGAGCTTATAGATATTACTACAACTACTATGCGCTCTATTCCTACCGACATCGGTTTTGCAAACAAGTCCCCGAACTCTCCCGTCTTCACAACGGGGTGGTCCGGATGCCACCGCGCGCGACGGCGTGGCAGCCGTCGGCAAACCGCGGTTACGTCGGCCACCAACAAGGGTCTCCGGTGACCTATGATGGCCGAGCATCTAAGTTACGATAGCACGCTCCTAGAGACCGCAGTTAGATACCTGGAGAGGCACTGCAGCATAGCCGACCACGGCGGCAGCTGGGTCAGCGCGTTTTGCATCGGCGGCGAAGCCGTTCCGACGAACCTAAAGACTCACGAGACGATAGAGGTTGCGGGAAGCAGAAAGGGCTTACCACGAAGCCAGCCGCGCCACCGGTTGAGGTGGGGAAAGACCGAGGAAGCCTGGCCACGTGCACCCACACCACGTGGCGGCGCTCCGAGGCGGACA